AGGGGTAGTAGTGATGATGTTCTAAAAGAGAGAAGGATGATATACAGTTTGTCCATTCATGTCATGAAGATCGATCTCAGAGCTCCTAGATAGGTTCGGAAATCAAATATGCGATGAAACACAAAATTTCTCAGAAATAAATGAGCACTGTGTATTTTTCCGTAAGCTTCCGAATTGCCACGTTCCCTTAGGATTCTTTCGGTATTTGCAACAGTGATCTCAAATGATCAACATTCTAGGTAAAAAAGAAAAAGATTAATACTTCTTTTAATCACTTTAAATAAGTTTAGTATTTAATTCCGTTTAGCAATAAAAATCACTTCATTAAAAATTCCACTTTTATTTAAAAAAACGTAGTATTTATCAAAAGGTTTCAAAACACGCAATTGTTCCAATTCTACTTTGAAAACATATTGGAATTAATAAGCGTAATATGGCACAGCTACTTGATTTAGGTATACTTAAGCAACAGGCCTTTTTTTAGAGGGTATTTCGAAATTTAGTTCTAAATTTCCCACTTTTTGAATGCCTGTACATAGAAACGATGTGCACACTGTACTTAACGCCATGTGTGTGCGGAGCCTTTTTCGCGATAAAAATAGTTTGTGGACATAGCGATTGAAACCCATGCACCTCTCCTTTTCGCAAATGTTCTGGAGGGGGGAAAAATTTCGTAAATTAAAACAAAAATAAATTAATCTGAGAATTATAATGCCGTTGCTGTCCGGACATCATCGGAATTATTAAAAGTTCGAGAATACTCAATGTGAGACCCTAAATCACCCTCATGTCTGAGTCTGTGAACTTTGTCGTTCAGACTCCAACGAACAAGGATCTAAAGTCCTCAAGCGCTTAGTTTATCGCTTGCATCGAATAGTAGCTATTCTAGTGCAACATTAGTGCAGAGTAACTACTCGAATAACAGAAAGTGCTTACTCGCGCATTTGTGCGAGTGTGATAAGCTCATTATCGCTCCGCAATGTTTCCGTGAAACAACGAGTTTCAGACATCGCTTCGCTTGATTTACGGTTAATAGAACGAGTGGGAGGATGATAGGATACAGTAGATTTCTAGTATCTTCCTAGTTTACGAAGAGTGGAGAAACTTTTAGAATGGAATGAGAGCCTTAAAATTGGGAAAAAGTGGTTTGATTATTCTGAACTGCCTCTAAGCTTCTGGTAGACAAAGGTCTTATCCGCTAATCTGTAGAAAGCTGAAAGATCTTAGTTCAAGATAATCCAGGAAATTCCATTGCACCGAAGCTTTCTGGACTAGATTTTAAAGTATTACGCAATGAAAGCTGTCTGGATTTTTAAGAATTAGCAATGTAAGAACTTTCAGAAAGGTCTAGAACAAAAACCATAACTGATAAATGAATCGAAATCTTTCAAGCCAAATGACGTAATCAAAGCAAAGTTCTTTAACCTAAGCTTTGATTCCGTCCAACTTGGGCTACAATATATTCAGAAATTTCGCATATTGGTCTCAACACGAGCAAAGCACCACTGTAAGCAAGTTATGCTATGTTAGTTATTCTAATTACTAGTATATATGATGTCGATGTTAGGGGATAATGTAGACTAGGGTAGCTGGTGTTATGGGGCCGATCGAGTGGGCTGGCGTAGGCCTCGGGCTGGTTGACGGGCGGCGATGCGGTGTTGGTGCTACGCTGTTGGGATGGTTGCGAGGCCATCAAGAATGTGAAGCCGAACTGGCTTCTACGAAACTGGTCTCACGTCGTCAACGCGTCGCGCGAGCGGCTGCACATACCGCATGCGTTGGCTACGTTGCGTTGCGTTGTCAGCGGGTGGGGGAAAAACTGCTGTTGAACACAACGCAGCGCAACGTAACACATACATACATACATACATATATGACGTCATGAACTACATTTCAATGAAAGTGGCAGTAGACGGTTCTGCACCCAATGGAACGCGCCGCGACATGCTGCTAAGCGGCAGGCATCGGTTCATCCCTGCACATGCAACAGTCTAGTGCTATCGGGTGTACTTAAGCGTAACTTTCATTGAAACCGCTATTCTAGAACCAAGCGAGAAATGA